CCCCCGCCCCCCCCGGCTCCTAGCCTGAGCCACTGCAGGCATGTGCCTGCATTTCTGGGATGTCTGTGCAATTACAAACTGATTCTGCCTAGCCAGGTTAAATTAACCTGCAAAAGATTGAATCAATTCAGACTCAGGCTTTTTGAATGTCTGTCCCTAGCTTGGGGGGGAAAGAACTATCCTCTGACAGCCTCCCTATAGGAGAACTTGAAAAGCTGTCACCCTAGAAAGAAATCATCCCTTTCCCCCATTCCCCACCCCCAACTGTCCCACCCCCATCCAATAACTTTTTTCTCTGCAATTTTTTCTAAGCTTCCTGAGCCTATTTTGTTCTGATTAGAGTTGTAGACCAGTTGCAGTATTGTGATCTGAACACTTTTTTTCTGGCTATTGCACGATTCCTTTGTTTATCACCATAAAAACTATTACTGCCTCTTCCTATATACCAGGAACTCATATTGGAAGTCTAAGGATAGAAAGTACTTGTAAATCACACCCTTGCTTAAAAGCTGGATTTTATCTTCAATAGAATAGACTGAAGTTCTGTATCCAAACACCTTTAGATGAAAAGGGACTAAAATATATGTATGTATTTCAGTTTGGGCCATGGGTCAGACTGAGAGAACAGCACATATTTCTAGCATTTGTGCAATAATTGTAGTTATCACTGCTGTTAAAGTTACTTGTTAGTCATATCTTTACTATTAGAGTGCAACTTCTATGTTTTTGCAACTCTGCATCCTCTGAAGTCTAATCAGTTACAAGGTATAATGAGTATTAAAACGTTTACAAAGCTATGATACAAAACCATCCCAGACTTTTCCATCCCAGGAAGCATCTCTTAGAATGATAACGAAAGACCACTTCTCTTTTTTTTTCTTTTCAAAATATGTACAAGAGCTTTTTGAATGTGAATGTACACTGTAATGAATAATTTATGAAAATTGCTAAAACTTGCAAAGAATATTGGCTCAAATTCTGCTCTGAGAATATCAGAACAGTAACTTCCTTTTAGTATGACAGACAGTTGCACTGTGTGGCATTGGAGCTCTTTGTGTGACAGGCTGAGCACTTTCACTGCCCAGGATATCATTAGGGACTTTGTTATTAAGACACTTTCAGATTTTGAATTACTATCTAGAACTGGATGAAACTTTTGTCCCTGGGAAAAAAACAGATTTGACAACGAAACATATAACAAATTTGTTTTAAAGTCACCAAAATTGAAATGTTTATTTTGATGTTTTCAAAATGAAACATTTTTAAACATTTTTTTATACAGAATGACCTTTTGTTTCCATATTCATATTCCCACCATATTTTAAACTCTAAAAAGATAATAGGTAAAATAAATAAAAGTGTGTGGTGTATGTGTTTGTGAAGGGATTTTATAGAATTTTTTCTGCTTTTCTAAGCTGAACAGATTCACAGATAGAGCTCTGAATTACAGTTATGGTATTCATCTGGCTGTCACAGTTATGTAAACATATCAGTACATTTGTAGTGAGACATTGCACTTACATTGTATACAGCTCCATTTACTGCAGAATCTGATAAAATGATTTTCTGTTAACGAAAGCTTATGCATCTCCGATGGCCTGATACGGTCCATCTCTATCCTGCTGTATCTCCCTTTACCATGAAATTTACAGTCTAGTGTCCCTGCTGCATCTCCTTTTGCCATAAAATATACAGTTCAGGGTCTGCAAGGAAATCTAGACAATTATGACTGATTTCAAATTGATTGACGTAAATTGGCATCAACTCCTTTGCCAGGGAAATGACTTTTTACCATGCTAATCATTCTTGCAGCTTGTCTGACCCTAAGTATTCTTGTCTCCATCCTCAGGCAAATTAGCTAAATGGCTATACTTATTACCATTATTGTTATTATTACAGAAAATACAAAATCTCCTTTAGTTTTGTGCATGTTCAATTTAAGGATGATAAAGTACAAGAAAGCAATAATATTTTTTTGGAATCCCAAAATGCTCATCTCTATCATAATCAAGTTATTTCTATCTTCAGCTAGATAAGCTTACTTTTCCCCACACTTTGATTATAGTCATACTTTCAATTAAAAATGTATGTAAAAATTGTTTTACTCCTGAACGTAGCTTTCACTAAATTGTGCCTCAGTGATGTATTAAACTTGTTAACTTTGAAAGATAATGCAAGGCTGATTCCCACCTGGAGTGTCTGAAATGCCTTCAAAATTTATAAACTGAAAAAATTCCATAAATATTTTGATTATTTTGTACATAGGAAATTAACTTTTTTGATGTGTACATAGGGCTCTCAATTGTTTGTTCTGATGTGTGTGCTGGCTTTCAGGGTGTCCTTTGACTTCACAAATATTGATTGAGTTTCATGATGTCTTAAACAAGGAATATCTGCTAACATTTTGGGACAGCTATCAGGCTACTGTAAATCATCAGGGCACCACTGAAGTCAGTAGACTGTTGCTGATTTACAGCAGTAGAGAACTTGACCCACTGAATGCAAAGGATACTTTAATGCCAAATATTTGTTGCTAATTTTGTGGCTGATTATATTTCTGCCTTGTGTACTTATAAAACTAGTTTCTTGGTACCTTTAAAATATCTTTAAGTTTCTTCCTCTCTTTCTTAATTATATTCCACAATGAAGTGTCACAGCCTCCAACAATAACTCAGCAATCTCCAAAAGACTACATTGTCGACCCCCGGGAGAATATTGTAATACAGTGTGAAGCAAAAGGAAAGCCCCCACCTAGGTAAGTACTGTTCTTGTTGAGTTTTCTGTTCAAACAGGAAATAACATGAAAAAAATCTAGAATAATGCACAAGAAAATTAAGAGGGAATAAAGTTGTTTTCTAACCTCACATACATGGGCACGTCCAGATGAGTGCTCACATGCCTCTTGTGGCATTTCAAAACAGTTTGAGATGCGGCAAAAGGCATGCTGAAAATGGAAAAATGTTCCCCACACTGTGGATTTGCAATGTGGACTCTAAATTTGATACCTGGAAATCCAGATATCAATAAACAAACAAACCACCCCCCCTCCCCCCAGGGAAAAAAAGCAGGGCAAGAGGTTTTTAACCTCATTTTTTATAATTCTATGTATTACTTTTCACATTACTCAGAATCAAACTTCTAAGATACTTGGGTAGAAATTTTAGTGATTATAAATGCTGATTTACAGCAGTAGAGAACTTGACCCACTGAATGCAAAGGATACTTTGTCCCAGGAAGGAACAGAGGGACCAGCTGACCTGTTAATTAGCTCCAAAAAGCCCTAAGCATACACAGTCCTATCTGCCTTGCACAGACACCTCTTAGCATTAGCTAGCATACCACATGCTGGCTACTGTCTCTGCGTTGGGAGAGGGCAGAGGGGAATCCCTGCTTGAGCAGGGAGTGGTGGGGCGCTGGAACAGGGGGAAGCCAGGCAGATGCTGAGCAGTGGGGAGGGGCTAGCTCAGCTTTCTGGAGCAGAGAACACTGCCCAGGGTTTCAAAGTATCTGGGATGCTGGGGGACTCTGTTTTAAGTTAAACTAGGAAGGTCACTGGGTTGTAATTCTCCTTAAATTGAATAGCAGGTCCCAGCACTAGGGCTGGCTCTGCCAGATCTGGGCAATCAGCTGATCATCAGAATTGAAGCTGGGGCAGCCCCAGTATGGGATACAGCTGCTCTTTGTTCAGTTGCTAGGATTGGGCTGGGAGCAGGCCTTAGTCTCAACCTGAGACCTGGGGCAGCACTGGGGTCCAGGACATGACTGCCCCTGCCTGATCTCTTGGTCCTGGTTCAGATGGTTTGGCCCCAGCAGTTGCATGTGTGGGATCTGAAAAATTTCATGCCTCATACCCCCCCAAATCATGCATCCTGCCATGCATGTCTGGCAATACAAAACAATGGCAGGATGCACATTTTTTGTCATGGGGAATAAAGTTCCTTACACTATTATATTTGTCTGACAGAGACTTCATAATCACAACCTGATCATTGCATTAATGTATTTTAGCAACTGACAAACTACGCTTTAGAATGTATGTTTGCAGCAGTAAGGTTTGCATACTATGAACCAGCTATGGGTTTTTCTGATTTGTTTTTTGTTTCTGTTTTTTTTTTTTAAGATGTCTTCATGAATCCTAATTTTTCAGAAGCAACTTTGTAAAACAGCCATTGCTTTGTGTAATACCAAAATAAGCCTAGTAGATTAGTTATGAACTAGCAGCGTGCAAAATTTCATTTAAAGAATCACAATTACTTGCATTGGAGTAGTAAAAAGCAATCAGACCTACAACATGGCCTTTTTATTAACTTCAGTAACTTAAAAAAGACACAAGCCAATTAAAGACAGAGTCTCCTACTGAGACCTTATATGACACTTTTCAGCCCGAAGCAAATTTTACAGTCATCTTATAAACCCTTTCATTGATGGAGTTATAATGGAAATGCTAATACAGCCTTAACAGCATCAGTTCCAGCAGACCTCACTGTATCATCTTTAGTGGAAAATTAGAGCAGTTTTTTCCTATGTGGATTGCTTATAAATCTCTAAATGTAATTTTATAGTAAAAATGCAGAACTTAAAAATAACACCTATTAGCAAGTTTAGCCAACACTTTTATCTTAAAGCATGGTCAGAATGTGTGATAGACACTGTATTTTAATGATTTTGTAGAGAACCTTTCACTTGATACTTGAATAATCCAATGGTATTTTTCTTAACCTATATTTTATGCTATGGACAAATTCCACATTTTACTTGAGGAGAATTTTCTAAAATGCCTTTTTTTCTTTTTCCCAGATTTTTAATAAGCATTTTCTTCTTGTTATGACTGTAGCTTCTCATGGACACGTAATGGAACTCATTTTGATATAGATAAAGATGCACGGGTAACAATGAAACCAAACTCAGGGACCCTTGTAATAAACATAATGAATGGTGGAAAGGCAGAAGCATACGAAGGCGTGTATCAATGTACAGCAAGGAATGAACGTGGAGCAGCAATTTCAAATAATATTGTTATACGACCATCCAGTAAGTAGAACTCTATGGTTAATCATGAAGCATTTATACTTAATTGCTTTGCTGTAAATTCTTCACTTGAATCATTTTCTTTTTTCACTTGTAACCAAACATTTTGGTTACAAAAAACAAAATGATATCTTTTAATCATAAAAACACTTTTGTTAGAAGGTATTGCATTTTTCCTGATGTTCTGGCTTTGTATTGTAGTGCATGAAAAATTATCAATATTCTCCAAAAATTCCCTAGTAAATAACTAGCCAAACTATTTTCCTGGGGTTCAGTATGCTTGGTTAACACATCATGCTTAAAGCTGTGTAATGTACAAAACACTGAAATTAGAAAATATATTTTAGATCTAATTTCCATTGCCATGGTATGAACTTTTTTATTAGATCTTTTACTGTGAAACAAATATACCATACACTTTTTTTAAAATAGCTCTAACATGCAGTAAACTGAGGCAATTTTTTGTGATATGATATACCTTTATATCGTAAGATCATGTTATATCATCTATCATATGATATATACCATACCAATGTATTTTGGTTGATTGCTTTATCCATTCAGCTGCAACAACCATGAGCAAAGATTTCTAAAATATTTTATAGTATCAAATTTAACTTTCTCAGCTCTTGAGATGAAATATATTTCTTAAATTTGCACTTATTTCTCCTATGTAGTAACATTTCAGTAATCTCTAACTTTGGGGGTTTTTTACTTCATTTTTTCTAATTCTATGTATTACTTTTCACATTACTCAGAATCAAACTTCTAAGATATTTGGATAGAAATTTTAGTGATTATCCAAAGTCATTCCTTTTTTTTGTTGATTAAATTGATTAAAGCAATCATTCTCCAAAACTATCAATGCAAATATAATTAAACATTTCTTTTTTCCAAAGAGAACACAACTGCTCCAAAGTGGAAGTTAAAATCTGTGTACATTTCCTAAGACTTTTCCTTTTCATGTGTCTTGCACATAGCTCTGCCTTATCTTCTGGAATTTTTTCTCAACCCATGATTTATATGAGTATTACAATTATTTTCTACAGGATCCCCATTGTGGACAAAAGAAAAACCAGAACCAAAGCAAGTTCAAGAAGGTGATTCTCTAGTACTTCACTGCAGACCTCCAATTGGATTACCACCCCCTATAATATTTTGGATGGATAATTGTAAGTTTATAACAACTTGATATTGAGAAGAATTTTCTTAATGTTTTATTGTTCTAGGTACATTATAATTACTTATTAAGAGTTAACAGCAGCTTGTATGCTTTCTTATCAAAGTAAAAATCCAGTCTTTCCTTGAGCAAGGCTTTCTTGATTCCACAGAGCTGAAAAGACAGGCTAGCAGAAAAGCTACTCGGGAGTAGTGCAGGCAAGGTACATTGGAAATATCAGCAAATGCCTTATGGATTTATATTTTCTAAGATGTTATTCAGGAAGAGGTGAGGAAGTTACAGAGAATACTTTAAAAGATTTATGTAGAATTTATTAAGTGATGAACCACTACGGGGCCAAGTACAGACAGTCAAAAATCCCAGGGCTGAATCAATTCAGTCTTTGCAGGTTAGTCTAAACTGCAGAGATTAAACTGAGGAAAAAACTGGACAGACATTTGCTTTTGATTCAGAAAATGCAGCCATGTGCCTGCAGTGACCCAGGGCAGAAGCCAGAGAGCATTAGACCATGGCTTTCTGGCACAGCATAGGCTGTGCGTTCACTTCCTCCTCTTGCTCCCTGCAACATCTCTGGAATCTGCAGTATCACAGAATCACAGCAGCAGGACTCTGCAGGGTTGCTCATCGCTTCCTCTTCTTGCTTCCAGGTTCCTCTGGGATTTCTAGTTCACAGTTGTAGTCAGCACTGAGTTTGAGTGTGAGAGAGAGTGTTTAACCCTCCTCTCTGGCCCTAGACCCAGCCAGGGTTTGTCTTGGAGAGGCAGTCCCTGCCTCCCTCTCGCCTATCCCAAACCTCCTGTTCTGGAGCAGACAGCCCAGCCCAGCCCAGCCCAGGGTTGGAAACATGCTGGGATGCTGGGGGACCATGATTTAACTTGAATCAGGAAGGATTCAACTTGAATCAGAAGTTTCATAAACCGGTTTGACTAGTGTTACCATACATCTGGATTTTCCTGGATATATCTTCTTTTTAGATCCTCCAGTCTCAATCTGGGCAGTTTTTAAAAATGCAATCAAATGTCCAGGATTTTACTCTGCTCTCAGCTTCCCCAGCAGGATGCTGCTTGGGGCTGGGGGCAGAGTGACTGGAGGCAGGGCGCATACATGTGGGCCAGCATGTAGCCAGGCAGGGGGTGGGAGCAGGCCAGCAACTGGATGCAGGTAAGTCGGTGGGAGGCGAGGGTTGTGTGTGTGTGTAGTGAGGGGGGGCATGGGTCCGGGGCAGCAGCAGGTCAGGAGAGATGCATGCCCTGGATTCATGCCTCTCCATGGGGGAAGGGAGAAGGGGAAGGGAGCAGCAGGGAGCTGCGTGGCTGCCCCAGCGGCACTGGGGCTGGTGCCTGTGCTCACAGGGGTAGGGCTGGGGGGAGTAGAGGGCTGTGGGTTGGGAGTGAGGGGCATCAGCAGGGCTGGGGGGGTTGGCTTCTCAGCGAGGAGCAACAGAATGGGCAGGGGTAGGGCACTGCTATATCTCACCCTACCCCCCACAGTTATATCTTGCTTCTCCTACTGCACGGCAAGTGTCCTCTTTTTTGGAACTGGAATTATGGTAACCCTAGCATTTGACTCGTATCAGTTAAGTCTGATACCACATTCAACCAGGTTTATCGTAAACCAGTTTCAGCCATTTCGAAACTGGTTTATGTGCACTGAACTTATGTTCTGTTACAAGTTTATACCAGTTTTTGTTTACTTAAACTGGCTTATGTTTAACTTCTGTATCTAGCCCAAAAGGCACAAAGGCAGTTGAGTGTGGAGCCTACAGACACCATGTTGGTATTTTTTTTTGTGTGCGCACATTATAATGAAAAAAATGTGCGCATTTTGTTTTATTTAGCATTCCAAAGGTTGCCTCAAAGTGAAAGAGTTTCCCAAGGTCTAAATGGGGACCTTTATTTTTCTAATGTACGACCAGAAGACACCCGTGAGGACTATATTTGCTATGCAAGATTTAATCATACTCAGACCATACAGCAGAAGCAACCCATTTCTGTGAAGGTTTTTTCAAGTAGGTATTTCATTTTTTAATTTTAATGTAAATGTACAATAATCTGTGGGGGGGATTGCTTGCTGGCTTACCATTAAAAAGCTTTATATGAGAGACTTTTATATCTTAGCTACAATGAGTAAGAAATTAAGTCTCTAAGGTTATTAATCTTCCATTTATATATATATATTTGATAAAAATATCTTTTTTTCAAAAATATATCTATTTTGTAACATTCTACTTATTTAAAAATCTAATGTAATAAATAATTCTGATTGACATTCTTCTGTGGATACTTCGGGTTATAATAGTTGTGACAATCCAGATGAATCAATCAAGAGATCTTTCCAATAATGCATTGCCCTCTGTTAGTGGTATTAAATGACTTTGACCATATAGATTCTCCTTTGATGCCAAGTACCATGGTTTACCCCACTTATGTGCACCCTTCACAATATTCTGTTTATTTCAGTGGATTCAATGAATGAAACTATAGCTGCTAATTTGAGTGACAGTGATTTTTATGGTGGTGAGTTACAGTGATCCCCACTGATACTCCTTCTTTCATAGTAGAATTTAGTTAACTAACTTCACCTCCATGATTATTTAACCTTTTTACTTCCCCTTTCCAATTTCTAATATGGGCATCTAATTGTACCAGTGATACTTTATAAAGAGTCTGCACGGTGTGAGTCTTCAAAATATGTAAAATTAATTTTGTACTGTCAATATATGATGCTTACCAAAATATCAATTTTACAGCAAATGAAGCTTTTCACACTGGAGCAGATTTTGCATGTTGTTTTCCTAATACTTTCTGTAGTATGCTTTTAAAATCTTTCTCCTCCGGTTTAACTGATACGTAGAAATGTACAATATCACTGGGATTAAGCAATATCACATGCTATGTCTTAAGTAATGATGGTAGTTTTAAAAATTTAACAGATTCACTTAATATTTCATAACTTCTTGAAATTCCATTCATTTTTAATCTTTTTCATAAATGTAAAACTAGAACAATTTAAAATATGAACTTTTAATGCCTGTTGTAAAATTAACTTTACATGAAAAATAATAGTTTTTTTGTTTGTATGTTTGTTTAATTTAATTTTAACCCAGTCTGCTTTTTTGCATTGTGGGCTAGGTCCTCAGCTGGTAGAAATCTGCTAAGCTCAGGTAAATTCAGACCAGTACTGATTTTACATCAGCTGAGGATCTAATGAAATAGTTTTACATCACATATGATGGTGAGGAAATAGGTCATTCTTTTTTTCCTTAAGACATTTTTCATAATTGAGATTCTGTAGACATTTGATCTCAGTTATTGAAACTCAGAATGTAACATAGATGTGGCAACTTCTTAATTCTCTATATACAATTAAAATTAGTTAGAGAACAAACAACATGAAATTTTCCATGCTGGTGGAATAAATATCTGCACACAGAATCAAACATTGAGTGGAGTGAGGAAAAAGTCAATTCATTTGGTGCATGACTCAAGAAGTCAGTTTTTCAGGATTCTCATAGCTTTGAGTTATGAATACGTTTTTTTTCAGTGCATGAACTGGGCAAATTGTTCATTGCCTTGTGGCCATGGACTGTGTTCCTCTTTGTCCCTTTTCTATCCCATTTAAAGAAAAGCTTTTGTATATGAGTATTTGAGATACTTTAGGAACATATTCTTCATCCTTAATCTAGCATTAAATCCTATCCCCTAGGACACAATGGATGGGAATCCTTATGTTCCTACCCATATTAAAAAACCCCCCAAAACTTCAGATCTTCAGATGGAAAGATTCAAAACATTGCATCATGTAGTAGTCACTCACTCCTGTGATTAAGAGTGCTGGGATAGTTTTATAACATTTATTTCTAGAAAGGTCTGTTTTCTGTAATATAAACCTTTAAAAAAGAAGATATGAAGTACTGTAATACACTTAGAAGTAAATCAAGCAAATCCAAAGATTAAAAAAATATTAAATATAATAACCAGTGTAAAATACTGGGCTTGGATTTATGCTTAGGTCTTGCCCTTCCTGTTTGAATTATTTTTATTGTTAAGAAAACAATAAAGATCCAGTCTTTGGAAACACTCAAATTCAAATAAGAATATGTTTTAAGGGGACAAGACATGGATGAGCTTCATGAGAAGTCCTCCCCACCAGTATGGCCTAGAAAATGCTGACTGAAATATATTGCACATTAATGTGTTTTATTGTTCCTATGTTCTTGAATAGAACAGGTTTACATGGGACCAGTTTTCTTTTGAGGGTTTTAACATAGTTTTGCTGGAAGTAAAGAATGTCTAATGTTGAGATGTTAAGCCCTAGCCTAATTCTTGCAATATGATCTACATAGGTGGACCTGGCACCTATGAGAAATCCTTTTGAAATGAGCTGGGGTTTATGCAGGGTTAGAGAGTAGGTGTGTAACCTTCAGATTGGTGATTCAAGCTCTTGGTTAGTACTAGATAAAACAGTTTGATCACAATAATGCTGCTGTGTTCATGCATAGAAAAAGACAATATTTCCCATATCCAGGTAGGATTCTAGTATGCTTATCCTAACTGGTGGAAGTTGTGCAGATTCTTAAATGCAAATATTTTAAAGCAAATTAACATGCACAGCAAAATACTTAGGCTAAATTCTATAATGTCCATATGTGTGAAATCATGCCCACTTACTGAACATATTACTAATAGTCTTCATGCCCAACTACAGATCTAGTTTACAGATCTAGTTTACTGATTTCTACAGAATGTCAGCATTCTGATACTTTAGAATATATTGGATTTTATCAGAAAATGTTTCACATTATTTTTTTTTCTTATTTGTTCTCTATTTTAATTTCAATTTTTTAATTTCAGCAAAGTCAGTTACAGAGAGACGGCCAAATCTTTTGACTCCAGCAGGTAGCACAAGTACCAAAGTGGAACTGAGAGGAAACACACTTCTGCTGGAGTGCATTGCCGGAGGAGTGTGAGTCGTTTTTTCCACCCCCAAAGTTTTCTTCTAAATACAAAGAGAAATAAAAATTTCAGAGAGAATGTCAGTGTCCAGAAGGTAGCATAATCCTAGATATTATAGTGATAGATAAGTTACATTTGCAGAAACAGATGAAAAAATTAAAAACAGGAGGTTTGTTTATAACACTTCACACATTTAGACTACAAGAGACTTAAAGACATAAATGGAACAGCTCATATTATGCTGACCTTCACTTTGTGCACTTAATACAGTCCAAATTTAATCAGTTTGGTTTCTGAACAAGTGTGACCTTAGAGTGGAATACCACCGATGCTGCGTTTGAGGTGTTCTGCAGAGATATATGAGAGAAGTTGTTTTCAAAAGCATGCCTGATTCAAGACAGTGTCCTTGCAGATGTTAAATAAACGGCACAATAAATACACTGTGCCATAAACTGCAATATGCTGTCAGTACAAAAAAATTATGGTGCAATAAACTGGCAAACCAGGTACACAGATATTAAATGTGGGACATCTCTGTGGTTGGGTTGCATCATGCTTTAATTTGAATGTGTATGAAGAACTTGCTGGGGTGGCTGCCTGGTGCTGGGGAGTTGTTCCCCAATATAGGACTACCTGTGCACTTTGAACAGGCTGGGGAGCCTGAGATGGGGAGCTGCTTCCACATTTTGCTTTCCCTGCCCCAGCATATTCAAAGTGCATGCATACAGCTGGGTACAGCATGTCTTTACTGGGGGAAGGGCTGGATGTTTCCCATGCTGGAAGGATTCCCTCTGCCCATTCAACCCTGTGCTAAACCTGGGAGCAGCCCCTGAGTCAGGACTGGGCTGTCTTCTTCCCTTTGAAAGATGCCCAGTGTGTAGCTTGCATGTGCATGGCCTGCACCGTGCACTTTTCAAGGGACACAGGTTGGTTGTATTATGGACCCACTTTGCTGGTCATGCCTACAAGTCCAGGCCAAATAATTATCTTTAAATAATTATTTTTAAATTTATACATGAGAAACCAGTGGACTGAACTCTTGGCATCTCTCTTTTCCCAGCCATTTAATCTCATCTGTGTTTTTGTTTCTCCAGACCCACACCAGTTATTCGCTGGATTAAAGAAGGTGGTGAATTGCCTGCCAACAGGACATTTTTTGAAAATTTTAAGAAAACTCTTAAAATCATAGATGTTTCTGAAGCTGATGCTGGGAACTATAAATGTGTAGCAAGAAATGTGTTAGGATCTGTTCACCATACCATTACAGTAACTGTCAAAGGTAATATTAGAATAATGTCAGCATCCAAATGCAAGTTTATAAGGTAATTTATTTTATATGGGGAACATGTTAGAGCAAATCATATCTAAAAGGATGAGTGAGAACAGTAACTATAATTGAGTATAATGATCACTGAATCATCTGAGGTTTGCTACTAGATATTCTATCTCTGCTTGCTGTGATGATTTCAGTTGAGCATGTGTTTTTTTTTATTTATTTACTTCTACATTTGCCAAGCAAGGTGGTATACTGAGATGATACTAAAGAGACAAAAATCTGTTAATAACCTCAACTAAATATAGTTAGTTTAGATTCTTCTGTCTTTTTGTTTTCTTTGTATCTTCTTTCCCTCTGTCTCTCTTCATCTTCTCATTCCCCTCATGCCTTTACTTTCCCATTTTTCTACTCTTTGTATCTACCCTTTTTCTCTTTCTTCATTTCCCCTGCTTTTGGTTCTACCTTGTTCATTGTACTGGTTCACAGTTCACAGACACTATGCTATGGTATTTATTTGAATCCAGAACAACATTGAATTTAAGACAACCCCCAGTAATTGGATTCTAGACATGGAAAATGTATCAATTTGTTAAAATTTTCCATGTGTAGAATCCAGTTATTGAAGGGCTGTCTTTAAATTAATCCCCCCCACTGATACAGAAGTAAAGCGGTGGCAAGGGGGCAGATGGTAGGGTGGGGATAAGAGACAGGGAAGGGAGTAGATGGGATGTGGGGGGCAGCAGGGACAGGCACCAGGGGACAGAGGCTGAGAGGGGTTGGGGGGGCAGAAGTGGCGGGGGGCAGAAAAATGGGGAAGGAGGTAGCTGCTGCAGCTCCAACTCCAGCCCTGACCTGGGCTTAGGGCCAGAGTCAGAGCTACAACAGCTGTTTTCCGTGCCCCTGCAGTACCTTGTAAGCCAAGGGGCTCTTTTCCTCATGTTGACCGGGGCTTGGGGGGGGGGGAAATCTCATCTTGAATTCACATAAATATAGTACCAGTTTTAAAGACATTTAAAACAGGTTGATATTTCAAAAGTGCCTGCGAGTTTCTATATAAACTTCATTTTAAAAAATCTCCATTTTCGCTCTGTCTGCATCTGTCACCAAAAATAAAATCTCCATGGCTCCAAAGTCACTGGAAGCCTTTCCATTGACTTAGCAAGTCAAGGACTTCACACAGCTTCCGTTTATTCTTCTTCCTCTCTTAGGTGCTAGCTCTTTTTTCTCATCTGTGAGCAATGTCTCCTTTGCCATTCCTCAAATGTTTGAAGAGAGGGTCCCCCTGAGAATTTATTAGAAAGACTACTATTCCAGCATTTTTACAGATAAATTTAATAAATGTTGCTGTCTTTAAAAAGAAAAAACCTATGAGAGTCAAAGCAGCCAATATATATTGTATTGATCTTCCTTAAATTGAGTAAAAAAATTATCTTATTTATCAAAAAAAATTGAAGCAAACAGCTACAAGGTTCATGATGTATTGCCTGTCTAAAAACCTAATAGTTTATTGCCTATGACTTGTGTAATCAAAACATATATTTTTACCAGTATACTATACATGTTTGCAAACATATATGCAAATATATATGCATCATAGATTTATTTGGCAGTTAAATCTGTTGTGCTGTATGATTTTGATTTTTTTAATAGAATCTTGTAACTTTGACCATTAATGTTTTTTTTCTAACCACAGCTGCTCCATACTGGATAACAGCACCTAGAAACCTTGTGTTGTCTCCTGGAGAGGATGGAACCCTGATCTGCAGAGCTAATGGCAACCCAAAACCTAATATTAACTGGTTAGCCAATGGTGTTACCATAGCAAGTAAGATTCTTAATCATCTTACGGGAAAATGAATAAGAGGAGATAAAGGATATGGACCCATAGGGGATATGAAATATGTATAAATAATTACTACCTATTTAAGGATGTTTTGCCTAACATTGAGGGAAAAACCCTCAGAAAATGAAATAAATGTGGGCTTGTGCATGAAGCAGCAATTTTAAAAAACTCAACAAAACCTCAAGTATAACCCCTCGGTGACACAGCTTTTTAATTTGCAGCCGGATAACCTGTGTTTATTGCCTGTTAGTGTTACATTGTAGAGGTGGCGTCAGAGCAATAAGTCTGTGCTACTTTCAGAGGGGTGGTATCAGGGATAGAGTTGCTGATCATTATATTGCTGCTGCAATGCTTTTTGCTAGGACCGCTCAGTTGCGATCCCATTGATTAACTATATACTTCTATAGCTTGACTAAACACCACTTCAGGGGGTTAGGAATTTGCAATAAGTTCATATTCCAAGCCTTAAAATTCAAATGCTGTAGCAGTTTTGTCTGTATGAGTCAGCAACTGTCTGGAAAACAGCCCAAGCAAAGCAGGTGTCAGAGGAAAGGAACCCCTTAAGCAATGGAACAACTGATTCTGTGTCTGTGAGCTAGTAAAACAGCTATGAATTGATGTCCCAGTCCCTTTTTTGTTATGGTCTTCCGACTGGCAGCACCATATGACAGACACAAAATAATTGCTATGTATAGCTCATCCTTACTTGAAAAGAAACCAGTTGAATAACACAGGCTGCACTGTGCTGTCAATTATTTTCATATTAACCCAGATCAGGACTGTCCTGCTATTGGCTTGGGACCCAGGCTCCAGGTTCAGTCACCACTTCCTTCATTGCTCTTGTGATGCTGCTGCTGGAGTGTCTGACTTCTCTCCCTCTGGCTTGTGCTTTTTGCTCCACACTTGGGGGCATGGCTGAGGGCTCAGGGGTACCCTGTGTGATATGGGGGTGCAGATACGGCACTGAGAATGGCTTGCACTGTGGCAGGCCTGGGGACTAGGGTTGTGTGAAGCTTCAGTTGCTGATTCGATTCAGAGGAGATTCTGCCTGATTCAATGGCCAAACCTCCAAATCCAGGTCGAATCAGGAGACCCATTAATCTCTCCAAATTGAATTGGAGAGATTTGACAATTCGGCCATACATGCAACTTTATATGTTTTTTTTTCTATATACCTTGAGGTATCAGGTGTGACTCATGAACACTGAGATGGTGGGGTGGATGGAGTGTCCCGCAGGAGTGCAGGGGGGTCCCCTGTGCGCTCAGTGGTAGACCCAGAAGTGGACCAGAAGTACTTCCAGTTCACTTCTGGGTCCGCCACAGAGTGCATGGGGGGGGACTCCCCCTGTGTTGTCCTGGCTTGGCAATTTGGCCCCAGGTGTCCCCCCAGACCCAAGAGGCACCAGTTGCCAAGCAGGGGGCAGTGGGGTCCCTCGCACACTCCATGGCAGACCCCAGTGGACCGGACCCCCCCCCACTCCCATGGGATGCTCCATCTGCCCCACCATCTCAGCTTTCACGAGCTGTGCCTGGTACCTTGAGGTACATAGAAAAAACATATAAAGCTGTGTCTATGGCTGCATTCCTGATTCTCTGAATCAGAATCAAATCTTCAGATCTCAGCCTGACAAAGGGTGTTTGTACCTCAAAGCTTGCAAAGAAGATTTTTTCCAAGGGTTTTACTTGGTCTAATAAAAGATTTGGATTTACCCAAAGAATCTTATCTCACTTTTAAATAGGTTTCTGTGACTGCATCCACATTAGCAGCTGCAGTTGTTTAACTGGATTGCTTACGCACAAAGCAAAGCTAAATGCCGTGGCATCTTTGTGAGAGCAAGATGGAGGGAGGGGAATGACAGAATGTCCTGTGAATCCTGAGGTTTCTTCACATTCCATCTTAACATTCTCTTGAAATACCAGAAGCTTTTCTGTGAGTTTCACAAGTGCAGCATGCCCTCTTGTTCAGTTGGTATTGAAATTATTCAGTTGGGCTCTGCCTGTTTCTAGCTGAATTTTTAATGATATAATTGTAAAATAAAACTGAAGCAGCTGGCTGGGCTGCAGGGCAGTGCTGGGTAAGTTAAACCCACAGCATCATTTCAAAGAAACCCAGCCATATTTGAATATCAAAGCATAGCTGTCACCCTATATCCCACAATGCACCCCCTGTGTCCCAGTAATCTTTTTCCATTTCTTTAATTTTCTACTGGAAAATGCAACTGGGAGATACTTAATGCTTCCAGTGTTGTTTCCTTATAATACTGTCAGACAAAGGCAGGAGCAATGTTACAGAGAGGACCTTTCATCCATCTGTCAGGCAAAGAAAGAGGCTTAAACACTGAGAAAAGCAAAGAGGGTGCAAAGTTGAAAGGCACTATCATCTACTGGGAGGAACATTAGTAAAATTAGTGGACCCTTAAAGTAATTAAAAAGAGTAATGTTAATTTTTCCTTTTAGACTATATTACCTGGTCTAAAAACATCTTTTTAAAAGAAATTGATGTCAAGTCCTATTAAAGTGTCTTTGATGGTTTTATTATGTTTTTATTAACAATGCAAATTTTAAGACAAAACTAATTATATGACCATAGGTACAGTCCTGGAGCAATAAGGGCCTAGTCTTTCCATGTTTACTAACTTTAGTAATCCTGACTCCCATGCACAGTCCCATTGAGGTCAATTAGGATTACTTACAGAATAAGGGTCACAAGTTCAGGCCATGACTGCTTTGCCATGTGCCTCAATTAACATTTGAGTGCTGCATTATTCATGCTGCTGCATAATCTGTCATAATTTACTGCTTAAATATTCAGCAGGGTCTTACCAAAGGGAAATCATGAATAAAATGTCTCAACTTTTAAAGAAGTAACAACCCAAATTAAGTGGAGAAGGGAACCCCTGACATAATTTAGAAAGATGCTTGTGATACTGCACAAAGCATTGATTTATTGGTTCAGTTATTTATAGCATGGGGTGAGTTAAGCTCACATACTTCCAAATTAAAGAAAGCACTGTACTGCATGTTCATCTTCATATGAAATGCCCTTTCCTTGCATATATCCTTTTCACATTAATATGATTTTTTTTCAGTCGTCTTAGTCTTCACATAATTGTACCAAATTGAAGGGCAGAATGCTAACCCCTAAATTTTTGTTTGTAAGGAAGTTTGATAATTCTTGGATTATTTTATTTTTACATACGGACATGTATGCATGCACATACTCTCTCACTGTCTCTTTCAGACCCATGCATGCCCACACACACTCGTGCACAGGAATGTAAATTGTAGGCTCCTGGATTGGAACTCTGGAGAAGTATACAGAAGAACAAAGAGATGGGCTGTCAGGCCCATTAATCATTCACCACTGCTGTTGTCTTTACAGCTAGAGCTGTGCAAGTAGGCCAGGATTTGGCCTAATGAGCACAGGAAGTGGAAAACTGTTGGGACTGGATTTTATTTACTAAACACTGTATGCCAGTACACAGTGGTGGCTGGTACTTAAAGTACATGAGAGGCAGCAGGTAATCTGCCATCTTCTCTGTTGCCACTTCCTGCTGTCTACTGTAGGTTAGTTCTACAATTTTTTCCAGGAATAATTCAACACTGGATTCTAATAATTTACACAAATGTAGGGCTGCATGTCATGTTTCCACTCCTTTTTTGTGGGTCTTAACACTAGTGTAAATGTTCTGTGTTCAAGCGCAGAATTTATTTAAAACTAGAAATCATTAAAACATTCTTTTTTTACTCATTGGTTTGCTACTGTTGCTTCCCAGCCCTGTTATGCTCTAGCATATCCAGGCCTATCCTAGTGTATCCAGTTAACAAGGCAGAGTGTGGCATCTTTAGTGGGTGTGACAGGTACCGTACCGTCCTCTCTTACCGGCGCCCCTCCCCCCTCAACTCTCCTGCCACAATTTGATGTTACTGGGTGAAAGGAGGGGTTCAGTGGTGTTCCTCTTCTCGGAGGGGGACCCAGTGACGGAGGTACTTACAGTTGCACCGTGATGTTCCTCAGGGCTCCGCCTCCCCTACACCCTGTCCACTTGCCAACCACTTGAGTGTTGGTCTTGCTGTTCCACCATTCACTGTAAGCCCCTTTACTAAGGGGTTCAGTGTCAGATTCAGCACCGATCGCTTGCCTGGATGTTAAGGCATCCAGAGCCCCAGTCCCTCATGCCAGAGGGTTGAGCTCTGTTATCTTGCATCTCTCTCTCTCTCCTTGAGAGAGAGATGCTCCTATAATCTCTGCAACTCAGGTAGCCAGTGACCAATCCTCCACAGCCTAGTACAGGGATGCTGCTTCCCCTGCTCCAGGTGCAGGCGCAGCGCCTGCAGCAACACTCCTGCCAGCCACCAGAGTCATTGCCTGCCCGGCGTACTCCCTGCTGGCCTTCTCCCTTGCTCCTCTTCCCCCTGCCGGCTTCTGGCAGGGTTTTTAAATCTTCCCATGGCGGCGTCTCCTGCTGCCGCCATTAGCCCGGTGCTCCCCGGCCCTGGGAGCAGCTGTCTGAAAAGCCGGCGAAATGCCAGCTCATGTGGCTGTGGTGCCAGTTCCTGCTCCAGCCACGTGCCTTGAAGTGGAAATTCAGATAGGATCACTGTTTGGCTAACAGAAGTGCTTTATTTTGCATGGCCACGGGAGATCAGCAAGAGGTGGCTGATGCTCAACGAGAGTAAAAAACAGGCTGCTTTCTATACTGATAAATCATGTACAGGTCAACCCGCCACGCAACAGGCTCTTGGCAGTCTGACAGTAACTTATCTCGGTGTCTGGCGGGGCCGAGCGAGTTTTCTGAAGCTGTCGCCTGATAAGCTTATCCTGAAGGCCACCATGTTGTTCTCGCTCACCTTTGACCCACATCACATCTCCCCACTCTCCTGACCCGACACGTATACATTCCTTTCAGTACTTTTCCATTCCTCATCATTCCCCCCTTGTAAGCGCTTGTGCTTACACCTCTATATTCATAAGGCATTTT